ACAACGAGAGGAGTCTGGTGTGGTAGGTCGGCGTGCTGTAGACTAAAATGGGTTCAAACACTTAGAGTAAATACATGCAACAGATTTTATTACGTCACTAAGCACACATATTCAAAAGTAGAAAAAAAGCATATACGCCCACTCTATATCATTTACCTGCACAATTTCAAATATTGCCTCATCTAGACCCCCATATTGTGTAAGACCAATGCATTTTGGTACTCAATATGCCGAAACGTGTTTTTGTGATTGAAAAAAAAATAATTTCCCTTTTCTTTGCACAGACATTATGGCTGAGATTATAAACCGCTTCTTTAAAGTGATTGGAGGTAAGTGATCGCAAATGATATCAAATCAAAGAGTTAGTATTTAAAGAAAAAAGAGTAAGAGTTAAATGATGAATAGACAGATTGATAGACGAACAGATAGGTAGATAGACAGATTGTTGGGCAGACAGATTTATAGAAGGATAGAGAGAGTGAGAGGGGCGGGAAGGTAGAGTGAGAAGGTGAGAGAAAAAGGGGGAGGAGAGGGAGATAGGGAGAGTGAAAAGGAGAGAGAGTGTGGAGGAGAGGGAGAGGGAGAAGGAGATAGAGAGATGGGGTGGGGGTGGGGGGTGTGGGGGAGGAGAGACAGACAGACAGAGACTGATTGATGGATTGATTGATAACGTTTATTTAGCCAATATACATAAAAACAGTTTGATATACACAAAATAACAATAGAATGGCTGAGCCTCCTGAGAACACAAGTTCTCTTAAGGAGGTACCTTATTATAAGGGAAGTGATGTGTATTAAATTCTTAGATTCTGTCAATCCACTCGCAGGTGGATTGAAGACGATAACAGTAAAAAGGTGAAAATATACAATATGCTATATATAACAAAAGACAGACTAGTAGATCGGACTAAGTTGTAACAAAAGAATAATTCTATTCATAAAAAAACTAAATACTAAAATAATATATTGTACAAGATATTTAAATGCACACATACACAGGACAGACTAGTAGACTAGTAGATCGGACTAAGTTGTAATAAAAAAATGATTTAATTCATAAAAAAAACACTAATAATATATATTGCACAAGATTATATCTATATATACACACATACACACCTATATACATACCTACATACATAAACATACATACATATACAGTTTATATATACACACACACACATAAACATACATACCTATACACGAACATATGTATATACACATACATTTACATAAATACATACATACATATACATATGAATATACTTATACACATATACATATATATACATGTACATACATACACACATACTCACACACACATATATATATACACACACACACAAATATGCTTATATTAACCTTACATGCATTTGCATGTGCACATACACATATATATTTATAAATGTATTACATAGATACATTGTACACTTATGTAAACATTCGTACAGATGCATGAATACCCGCTGTTATGTACCTGTATATATACTTATTCAAACTACTTTTTACATTTGTCCTAAACATTAGCATTCACTCTGACATATGTAATAGGTGGGTCTTCAACGATTTTTTGAGTGACAGCAGTGACGGAGCATTGTGGAGATGTGAGGCAGATTATTCCATACACTTACCCCATGATATAAAATACATGTTTTTGATTGGTTTGAGCCTATATTTGGGTGATTTAATAGTGAGTTTGATCGCAGAGGATATCTTAAATCATTTCTGAACCGAAATAAGTTATTTTCGTATATACTGATACATTTCAAAATGAAGAGAGCACAGAAGTAGGTATTTATATCTCTCAGCTTCAATAGTTTTAGTGTAGAAAATGCCTCATTGGTAGGGTCATATTTGCCTAATCCAGCAATGGTTCGGATTACTCGTTTTTGGGCAGTTATAACGGGTTTTAGCATGGTTTCATTGACAGTTCCCCAGACAGTATTGCAGTATGTTAGATGTGGATAGATTAATGAAAAATATATGCATTTACGGGCATTCAGTGTGAGAAAATCACAAGTATGGTACAAGATACCTCACTGTTTATTAATTTTTTGACGAATACTGTTCGTATGACTTTTCCACGATAATTTATCATCAATGATTACTCCGAGAAATTTAGTTTCGGTTTTCCTTGACAAGGGTTTATGTTCTAATATTAACGGCAGAAGTGTAGGGGGAAGTTTCTTATTGCGATTAAATATGACATAATGGGATTTAACAATGTTTAGCGTTAGTTTGTTTGAAGAAATCCAATTACTGATAGTGCTGAGTTCTCTATTGATGTTACTAATGAGTTGATTAATATCTTTACCTGAAACATAGAGACAGAGAGAGGTAGGGATGGCATGGGGGGTGGGGTAGATTAAAATAGAGAATCCGGATCAAAATTGTTCTTATATGTATGGATAGACTAACAAGCAAAATTGAAAAGTTAAATGGCTGAATCGTATTAGATACACATGCCTGAGTATCTAACTTGGTAAAGTGCCTAGGCTGGATGCCCGCAAGGTTGGCTTTGGCGGTGATGGCGTGGTTCGGCTTCATCAACCTGTATATGGTGAGGATCAATTTGTCCGTCATCATCGTGGCAATGGTACGCCGGAATACGACTGTGGCTACCGCACCTCCATGTCTCAGCAACTACAACAGCACACACGGTAATTTGTATTCTTTTTTTTTTCATATGTCGTAAATATTCTACATTTGTCTTGAATAGTGTCTGTTCAGTATATTCTAACATTCATACTTGTGATTCTTCGTCTTCTACGAAGTTTTGTTACATCACCGAAAATTGTGCCCCGTTTATCGTTTGCTTTCAATCTTTTCAGGAAGTTCTGGGGAGCATGAACGTTTTAATACTGATGAGGTAATGCCAACTGAAAAAAAAACTACCAATTGTATCATATAATGAGTAATTGATTTATATGTCAATCTCTCTCATGTCATAATGAAACTTTCCTCAACAGGAGGGAGAGATGGACTGGGACGAAACGATCCAGGGACTTATACTGGCTGGTTTCTTCTACGGTTATGTTGTATCGCAGGTTAAACGCTGAATCCTTAGTCCCTCTCACAGGATCGAAAGCAGTATACTAAAACGAAAATCGTTGTATTTTGAACATTTATATAAGACAGCTTTTACTTTGCAAAATCATTTTGATATCTCGTCGGTCTCGGCAGATTCCTGGTGGTCGGATGGCGGAGCTATATGGGACGCGGTGGGTATTCGGAGGCTGCATCCTGGCGGGGGGAGTCTGCGCTCTGCTGTCCCCCGTCGCCGCCCGCGCTCACTATGGCGCCTTTATTGCTCTCAGGATTGTGCAGGGAATATTTCAGGTTAAACACATGAAAACTGGTTATGAATGTCACTTAGATATTTGAAAGAATCCGAGAAACATTGTTCATAATCCGATATGTCGATTTATTGTTTCCCCCGAGCTCTTGGTATATCGTCGACACTAACGATAGACTGTGAACTATGCAGATACAGAACCTTTACTCTGTCAACTGACCTAACCTTCGTATAAAGGATTTTTAGGGAGTAGGGCCCTCAAAATTACATATATTATGTGCATGGTTTAATTGCCATGAGCATTTTTTCTCTTTGGTATTTATCCGCAACTACCCCATATTCTTCTTGCACTCTCTGGCAATCCGGGATAGTATCATAAATACTATACTGGTGATATCTTGAAAATTTAGCCTCTGGTGCCACATGATGAAGCTGATTAACAACTGTAGGCAATGTAGCAAAGTCGACTTTCCGGAAAAGCACGAGAAGCTTTTATAATGTCACTACTGTACACATCTGGTTCCTCTCATATGACACCTGCAACATTCTCTGTATTTCTCTTATTCAGTCATTCATTCTCGTTGTACATATCTATCGTACACTATTTATACATTCTCACTCTCAATTATGTATTCATAATTTTTTTTGACCCTTCATCAATTATTTTTTCTATCACTATCTCTCATTCTTCATAAGCTCTCTCCTTATCCATTTATCGTTTAATATCCCTTTTTATCAGTTATTTCACTCGCTTTATTTACCACATTCTGTCTGCCTGGCCAAGCCTTAAGCAAAATTCCCTGTCCACTACTGGATCATCTAGATTATATTTCAATCTGGCTGAATTTTACTCTAAGCTTGATCTGCTGCATTTTAGCCTCTTCTCCTACGTTTGTGTTATCGTTAATAAAACTAACTTCATCCGAAAAATATCAGTCGATTCCGTGTCACACGCAATAGCAACATCGGCTAGATAATTTATCGTGACGTCGTCAACGGTTCCCGCATCTTTCTGCGATTCACATTTGGCTAAGCGGATGGGTGCACTTTAAGAAAGAATCAGATATGCTTATCAGATTAAATCCTTTAACGGACGAATGTTGTCAAATAATACTATACAAAATATTTTGGCAAAGTAAAAGGAGGTCTGACTCTCACCTTTAACAGTAAAGGGAAAGGTTTTGATTTTATTTAATTTTTAACCAATGATATTATTTTCATCTTATTAATTGACTTTTGTTGTTTTACCTCGCTGATTATTGCTATTGTTTTCATAACTAATGTGTCAATGGATTTAGTGTTAAATCATTGGGTACAACATGTTTCAGCAATATGCCATTATTGTGTAGAAGTAGAGGTGACATAGCTCAGTGGTAGAGTGCTGCAGTCGCAGAGTCCTGGGTTCACGCCCCGTAACCCCTCTCAGTCGACTCAGCTGAGACTGAGTGACTAGCAAGCTGACGTCAGCAACTTGGAGCAAAGTCGGGCGGAAAGGAACTGGCACCATCCTGCGGTTTAATACGCATGTCCCACTGGGAACATGTCCCCAACGTCCAATTGGATATGGGAAATACTTTTTGACTGTATAAAGTAATACTATACTTATTTCAGATTCAATTAACTGTTGTGGATATACATCATAAAGAAGCGTTTTCTTTTATTAGATACGCAAATCTATAATCACATGCTAATTACAGACTATGTG